AAATAAAATGCTGAAAAATCGACCAGCATTCTTAAGTATGCATTTAAGTAAGTTGGCATTTTGCATTAGCATTTACATATCATATCTGAACATATGAACTTTAGAAGATATGATTTGTTGACTTTAAATGCTTATAATTCAGGAACTATTACTGCCTTGACATTTTAACATTAGGATTTTTATTTCAAAATGATTTCAGAAATTTACCCTTAAATGTTGTTATAGGACACTCGTCTCGTGTGTGTGGTGTGTGTGTGTGTGTGTGTGTGTGTGTGTGTGTGTGTGTGTGTGTGTGTACATGAATATATAAATAAATATAAATAAACACAATAAAATTAAGATCGTAATATTGTTGTAATACATCTTAAATTTTGAATTTGATATGTATGACTAAAGATAGTACTAAATATAGATAGATAATAAAGGTACTAGCAAAAATAAATACCTTCATATCTGCAAAAAAATCTGCCAGATCAGTTTCATCTACATCATATGGCAGATTGCTTATGTAGGCTACATAAGGAGGATTTGTAGGGATATTCTCTTCGTCAATCCCTGGTCCTCGTGCAGCTCTTGGAGCAGTCGGCAATATAACCGGATCTTTGTTACTCCTTGATGAAAATCCTTCTGTAAAATAATCGATATGAAAAATCTATCATAAAAAACTAAAGATATAAGTTTTTACATCACATATATTAAAATAAATATTTTGTGACAGGAAATTACAGCATTACTATGTTCCATTCCTCTTACAATAATGTAATAAAATAATTTTTTATATATTCAGAGTATACACAAAAATAACATTCACATATATTCTGATGTATAAACATAGATACTTAATAATTAGAATAAGAATCTAATATTTTTTTCATAAAACTAACAATTGTTTATCAATTTCGAACTGAGACAAAGGCAATTCCAACGACTTACCATGATCGTCCTCCACATCATCAGCCCAATTAGACGATTTCAGTGGTATATTAGGAGTCGGCCCATTTCCGTCGGCAAGGAATGACCACAAATCTACTGTTACTCCCTTCTTCTTCTTATTCTTTTTGCCTGCAAAACAAGCGTATTATTAGAGGAACGTATCGTATTGTCGCACTCCGTGTCGAAATGCGCCTAGCAGCTCGTGCAATATCGAAAGCATGGTGACCACGTCGCGCGAAGTTTGGTTAGGTGCAAACGTGTGGTGCGTGATGACGGCGCGGACGATATTCCAAGATAATTTTAGCGATAAAGAAATTAATTGTCCATCGATACTCATCGTCATGACAATCAAAAACGTACCTGAGGACATAATAACAGTTGAGAAATCCACGGAATTACGTGCCAGGCCGTGCTACGTGCACCGCACAACCACCCTCGCACTTGCTCCAACTTACAGAATCCGTGAATCACGAAAGCTTGATGCATGGTGGAAGCATGAACTACATTCGCGCGAAATGCATGTGCAATACATATCGCGCCATCTTTCGAGTTGGTGATATGGCTTCTGTACACCGGATGCCGAAACGTTTGCCGCGCAACAAATGCAACACGGTAACCAATAAGCTTATAGCTCTCCATTGATTAACGTGTTGCATTTTGTCGCGCAGCAAGTATTTTCGCGTCTAATGTGTGTGGGAGCCAATAAATTATGTTTAAGGTCAATATTACATGCATTTGTTTTTTGTCGTAAGATAAATTTTTCAAGCCTAGGGTCCTATTCTTGAACAAATATCACATACGAAATAGCAATTCCGTATACAATAGATCAATCATAATCGAGAAATTATCATTTTCATATGCAAAAATTATTTATATATGCGCTCAAGAATAGGATCTGTTGATTAGCTATAGAACAAGAAATCCGAGATCCTGTCTGTCTTGCAGCCAATTAACACGCTTGAAAAATTTGTCATACAACAAAGAAATGGATGTAATATTTAGAGTCCCTATAGAGAGTCGTGTCAATCTTGTCAAAATTTTTATTGGCTTGAAGTAAAATGGCAGAACCAATCATCGATGTTATTATATCCCCACTTTGAGTATCGTGGACACGGTAATTTAGATTTTAGAAATTGTAAGAGTAGAATTTACATTAAATTATATAATATTGAGTATATACAAGTAGAATTAATGTTAAAATATAAAATATTGACAGAAATAGATTTATTTTCTATTGCTGAACTAGTTTTATACTTTTGGAACTGAAATAGTAATGATACGAAATAATGAAATAATACTTTCATTTAAAAATACTTTTATTTTACAATAAAATGTCTTGCCATTGTCAAATTGTTATATATTGGTAATTTTAAACGCCCTTTTTGACAATAGATTTTAATCCTAAATGTAATAAATCGTTTCGTAATTTTACATAAGTTGTGATAATTTTTAAGTATCTTACAGTGTCTTATATAATTAATGACAAGGTTAGAATTTCACTTTCGACACTTTCCTATTACATAATATCTGTATCTTATATATTTTTTTAATTCAAAATCTTTGTAATAATGTATAGGCTTACCTATTTGTAATTTTGATACAACTAAAATAATCACTTCTGATCACTTCGCATTCATAGACTTATAAAATAGACAGAGCGTTTATACGAGAGAAGCTGAAGACAACATTGAAGGACAGCTCTACTCCAGACATAGTTGTTTCTCTCTTTCACTGTGAGCAGTTGGAAGCCAATCAGTCGTAAGGCCACACTCTCAAACGTCTTTTCTTGACTCTATTTTCGTTTGGCCACTTCCCAATTTGCCACGGTGACCGATCAATTCACCACTAGAAAAGAAGAGGACTACTCTGCAATTATTTTTTTCTCTTTCTATCAAGTTCTTTAGCTTTTCTCGTATGAATGCTCCGTCTATCTTATAAGTCTGTTCGCATTACAGCTTCATGACTCTACGCTTTACGTAGTAGAAAATCTAAAGCTTTTCTGTAAAGCCGATCTAAAGTTTGTTGCGACAGCCAATCTTATGTTTTGAAATCAGCGCTTCATATTGGCTGTCGCAACAAATTTGCGATCAGTAACTAATGTAGAACCAATAGAGACCTTAATAGAGTCCCTGTAGATGCCATTTTACTTCAGATTGACGCGAATCTCTTATAGAAACTTCAATAATATTGGCCTTAACCGAATAAGGAATGAACGAATAACGATCGATTCTCTTCGCATTTGACTGTAGATAAATTTCTTTATGGCTTAAGGCTTAAAACATCTATTGTAGATCCGGGCTAAATTTATTATTCGAGTCGGCGTTTTCGACTCGAGCGAATTTGCTCCCATTTGGATTGGATAATGTTCTACTATTGGTTAACGTTAAACATTCCACCAATAAGAGAGCATACGTCATTAATCCAACCTAGGTTGGTGCAAATTCATTTGAGTCGATATGCTATATTTTTTAAACTTTTGGACTTAGAGCTATCACAGACAAAAGGTTTGTTCGCAAGCTCCAACCACAGCTCCTACCACAGCTTCTACTCACTCTATCAAGTGCGTTGGAATGAGTAAGAACTATGGTAGGAGTATATTACAACATGTTGGAGCATGCGACGCGAACAAACCTAAAATTTCTGTAACAGTATGAATATATCCACACAACTTACACTTAGTCGCATAAATGTATGCATAAAAAATTATCCAATTTTATGTCTTTATAAGAAAAATGTAATGGGACAATTTTCTTTATATACATACGTTTATGCGATTATGTAAGTTTATGTAGATATATTCTAAAAGCGGGGAGCACAGACTCTTGCATAACGCATAAAATAGAAGAAAATCAACCAATCAGAGTCCTTTTTTTACAGAAAGGAAGAAAATAAAAGACTTTGATTGATTCATTTTCTTATGTCTCATGTGTTATGCATTATCCGAATATCTACAATAGATTATAAGCCTTAAGCTGTAAGAAATTGACCAACTACAATCGAATGCGAGGACAATAAGTGAATTATGATTCGTCCATTCCTTACAGTTAAGGCTTGAAAATCTATTGTAGATCCGGAATTAGTCCGATGTAGTTAGTTACTATTATTTCCATTTCCGTTAATTACGTAATCTAAAGCAATATCCTGATTGGTTCATTGGCTTAATTTTACATCATTGTTACGGAATTTTGTGAGCGATAGCTCTAATGCGTGATCTATAATGGCTATGTTCAGCAGAGAAAACAGCTTTGCAACTGTTTGCAAAATTCTTTAATATGATTGATCTTGCCCTTATTTTCTCATTGGATCTACATGTATAAACTAATTATATTCAAGAATTTTACAAAGCTGCTTTCTCTATTAAACGCAGCAATGGTAGTAGCAATAATGGATGAGACTGTAGGTACAATCAACGCGATGCTACAATGCTTTAAAGCAATTTTTGATTGGTCAATGTGTAAAATTCTTTTTTCTAATTGGTCAACTGATGCAAAGCATTTGCAATGAGACTTTAACCGCAACCGGTAAGAGTAACAAATTGACCAATCACAGTGTTGTGATAAATATAAGAAGAATGACACTGTGATTAGTTAATTTTTCTCTTACAGCCTCATCCATTACTAATACTGCCATTGTAGACCACACATTATACTATAAACAGACAGCATGACTAGTTAAACATATAAACAATGAGTATTCTATAAATCATCTATTGCTTGCGATTTCGGTCTAGTACGGAACATTTTTTTAATATTTGAAAAATATTACTATTTTATACATAATAACATTTTATGAATAATATTAATACTTCAATAATGGAAAGGAAATAAATACGAATATATAAATAGGTAGGTAAGAAAATAAGTATACAGGTATATAGAAAAAAATAAAAGTAGATAGTATATATTCAGTGCTATTTATTTGTTTGTATGTAATTATAGTCTTATAATTATAGTCTTATAAAATAGACGAAGCATTCATACGAAAGAAGCTGAAGACGACATTGAAGAATAGTTCTATTCCACACATAATTGTTTCTCTCTTTCACAGTGAGCAGTGGGGACCAATCAGTTTGAGCGTAAGATCACAATTCTCGAACGTCCATCTTCATTGCTCTCGGCCACTTCCCGGCCTGCCGCGGCGACTAACCAATTCACTACTAAAAAAGAAAAGAACTACTCCATGATTGCTTCTTTCTCTTTCTATCAAGTCTTCAGCTTCTCTCATACGAATGTTCTATCTTATAAAGCTGGAAACACAATAAAAAACAAAGGCAATAGGAACAGGGAAATAAGAGATTTCAACTTATCAGAAACCATGAATAGAATGGACGCTTTCTTGTGCTTTTCATTGTGTTTCCAGCTTAAGTCTAATGGCATGTAACACACGCACGCAAGCACGAACGTATATATATATATATTATGTGTAGTAAAAAGAATCCATTATTTTTGTATGAAATTGAATGGAAAAATAATGGATTTCTTTTTACTACACTTAATA